AACCACCAGCCTTCTGGTTAGCAGTCAAGTGCCTTAGCCACTATGCTACCAGAGCTCCCATTTATAGCCTTGGAAACCCAATGGCAGGCACTATGAGTTGGAATCGACTTTATGGCAGAGAGTTTGGTTTGGATTGGTATTATTATAATCACATTATGATGCTATAGATCTGGAAGAAAGCAATTATTTGTGTCTGGCCTTTAGTTTGCCTAATAACTGCTGCTTTTTGACCAAACTAAGTGGTGTCAACCTGTTTCTTATGATAAGATGGTTACAAAGATAACCTAAAATTTGTGATAATTGTCAACTAATTTAATCAAAGATTTTAAGCTACAGACTGCACTTTTGGAGGTGGGGGGAAGAAAAGGAATAAACTATAAAAACTGTCCATAAATTTTTCATCTGCAAAATTAGGATAATAACATTAGGTTCCCGTGCTTACCAAATATTCTGAACTCCCTGAACAAGATACTCATTTTTATCATATATAGTCTATCACAGGCCAGATGATAAATAAAATTTATGGTAACATCTTACAAATTTTACTACACTGACTTTATACAGTAACTTTAACTTTTTTCTACAAACTTCTATTAAGCAAATAATATTAATGATTAAGTGGGAAAACAGAGACCCATTCAGGTGCAAATGACTTGCCCAAGACCAATAAGCCAATAGATTATTAATGAAAACAGCTTTGTCTAGAATCCAGTTTATCTAGCTTCAATTCAATTCAATAGTTTCCAAACCCAGGTGATCATCAGAATCACATAAGAGGGTATGTTGTTGCTTTTAAAAATACAGACCCAAGGTTTGTATGCTGCCTCAGGAGGTCTGGGGTTAGGTCTAAGAATCTGTTTTAATAAACAGTTGCCAGGTGATTCAGATAATCAGCCAATTATAGGAACTTTTGAGCTGGGCTATTTTTATCTATTTCCTTTACCCTTCTACTCCCAGTAAAATATAAAAGTGCCCATTTTCATTCTCACATTTTGCTTGGTGGGTTTATGACAGAATTACTGAAAATGTTCACTTTAAATTTCTAATATTATAAATCAAGACAAAGGATTAGTAAGTACTCTGAAATTGTATGAAACATGTTTTACAATCAGAGATGTGATACACAGGCAGAGGTTAAGAGCATGATTCTGGAACTGGACTCCCTGGGTTCAATTCAGACTCTGCAGCTTCTTAGTTGAGTGCCATTTAGGAATTTACTTCTCATTATCCAAATTTCCTCATCTATAAAACAGAAGCACCAGCCACACTGGGTATCTTGGGAATTAAATGAGATAATGCACATAAAAGCTCAGAATAGTATCTGGCCCACAGTGAGCAGCACAGGCAGTAGCTATTATTGGTAGCAACCCTAGGAATGATCACACTAGTATCCCTAAGCACCATCCATTTACAGGCACTGGATGAGGTACTTGAAACACTGTAGTGAGGGGGATGTAAACTGGGTTTCTAGTCTCAGAGTTTACAGTCTATCACAATAGAAGTATGATGAAAGATAAGTGCCAATGGGAGGCAGTGCACACAGTGATTACAAACATGGACCTTATTTGAATGCCTGTTTTTGCCGCCTCCCAGCTGTATGATCTTAGCCATGTTACTTAATGTATCACTTGAGTCCATGTAATTAATGTAAAGAACTGAGAACAATGATCAGTGCATAGTAGGAGCTGAAAGGTTGAGTACAATTATTATTATGATAGGAAAAACACAGATGTTATAAAAGCACAAAGGAAAATAACCAATCCAGAGTTGAGTGGGTCAAGAGAACTAGTGGAAATTGAGCAGAGAGTACAGGAGAATGAGACTGTTCCTGGAAGAGAGAAAGAAAGTTTAAAAGCCCACAGGCAAGAGAAAGAATGAGAAGTTATGGAAGTCTAACTTAAAGTAGAGTCTAGGAGGC